TAGAGAACTGAGAGGGCAATTAAACTACCTTTACACAGTTAAGAGTCCGTTTTCATCAGGTGTGCTAATTGTACATAAAACCCAATAAAGTGCGTTTGCGTTGACGGTGATTTCATTTGAGTCGACAGTTTGGATTACACATGATCTCTTAAGGTCCAATTAAATTTCACCAGTCTACTGAAATCCCTTTTTCGTGCATGATTAAGATGCACATTAAACAACTAAGTGATAATTTAAAGGAAATTAATAAGTAAACTAAAGATGATATCTCTATATAGTTGTATAAAGAGTAACTAAGTTGTAAAACTTCGAATAACTGTAAAGATGTGAGGAGACTGAAGGCCAGAAACTGACTCAAAGTGGTTTGTTAAAATTGCACACTTTGCACTAACCGTATTGTTGGGTTTAAGTGGTGAAGCATCAGGGATGAAAGATGAAACTATCAATAAAGATACAAGGGTGAAATGGCAGCGATCTGGACCGATCATGTTGAATGCAAAGCTCCGCTCAAACAATGAATGAAACAGCACCTAAATTCACTTCCATTATGCAAAGGGAACTTCTGTGTAAACAACGTGGTTTAAAATTTCTTTTAGTTCTGCTACAACCAGTAACGAATTGACAGGTAGGTATTTGATTCCAGATAAAGGAAAGCTTATTAGGTGAATGAAAACAAAGAAATTAGGCATTCAAGTTCCAAATTATCCCCCCAAATGATACACTGTAAACAACAACTGCAACAAAAGCTCAATAACCGAACTACTTTTATCCAGTTCGGAACTTTGCAGTGATGGTTAGAGTCGATTCGTTGTTACGAAACTACAGATTCTTTTGTGTTTGACGCAAATTAAGCAGAATTAAGGTAAGCAGAAACTGAACTGAAAAAACAACAAAATAACAAGATAATGCTTACAGAATTTGAATAAAGTAAATACGTGTATTTTGTAAGGAACTCGGTGAAAATTGTTTTGTTAGCAACCGAAGCTGTGTAAATGTTATGCAATGTGTCGTGAAAGAGATTGAGTTGAAACAAATTTGTTGCAATGGCCATGCCGCCATGGGGAGGTCAGTTTAATTTGAAAGCAAATAGCGATTTGTGGAGCCTTAAAAAATCAAAAGAAACGGCCCAGCTTTTTCCCATTATTGTACACAGAAAATCAAACAGGGATTTGCAAATTTAAAAGTCACTTATTAAAAGGGAGGCAAATGGAAGAAGGGGAACTTTATTTTGTCACTTACATTCAAAATTTTGATATTTGAACTTTATAAATAAAACCATTTATATTTGAATCAAAGCCACTCTCAGACTTTGGATGAGCGTCCTGTTCTAAAACTCTCTAAACGGTGGAAATATTAACCCAAACGTCTATAGCTAAGGGGCGGGAGGCGGTATCCAGACCTTGAGCTAAGGAGTGGGGGGAGGGCGGTTTCTTCTTTTGCTTGCCACGCCGGCTTTTCTTTCTTCTGCGATTCTTTTTTACCCAAAATAAGGGAGACCCCGGCCCCCCGTCCCCCTCCGCTAGATCCGCCACTGCATTTCTATTTGATCACATTTTTTTTAATTCAGGGAAAATCATTTACGTGACTTTCTTGTTACTTCACCGTTGTTTGAATCCCTGTGGCAATGAAACACAAACGCCTATATTTCGTACCTCCTTTATATTTTGACGTTCAGAAAGAATTTCCTTTTATATGCCATATTCTCTTGATGCCATCAACACTAGCATATTAAGATCGGCAGTCGACTTATTTCACGGAAAACGAAACAAACACGTTGCAATCGACTCCCGCTGATTTTTTCAATAAATTTTACGACAGAAACATATTGCTCCACCCTTTCCATCTTCCTATCGTCCCCCTCGCGCCTTCCCAATCCCAATTTTGCCTTCCCATTCCCAGTTTCACTTTCCCCTCCCCTAGCTAGCTAGCTAGCTAGCTAGCTAGGGAGCCTCTACACAGGAGAGAGGTTTAGAGTCGTTCGCCAACTAGTGCCAGTCGTCCCTGTATTCTATTAGACGGCGAGGCGTCGGCCCCAGAAACCCAGGCTACATCTCGTGCTGTGAATCATAACATCACGCAATCTGCCATTACATAGCCTGCGAACAGACTCCCGGTGAGCCCGAACGAAGCCCGAACGCCCCGATCGCTTCGCTCTCCGAATTCTTTTGTCTCGCGATCGCCGAAATTTCTTTCCGTCCTCAATGGGAGCCTGTTCGCAGGCTAGCCATCACAATAATCTCTTGGCCATTATCAAAACTACGTGACCACCGGCAGCTTTTTAGTCTAAATCATTTTACGGTTGACCTCTTGTGCAAAATCTGTACAACCAGAAAGCATCAGTTACAAAATTTAGCGTATCGTCTGTCTACAAACGAATATATGATCAAAATTAATTAACGTTTTTCAAGGGAATTTATTTCGCGCAAATCATGACGCGAAAATAACGGAGCCTATCTTTTTTGAAGTTAATGACTTTTGCGGTGAATTCCGGGAAAATCACCATGAGAAGAAAAGCTGTCTTAAAAGCTCTTCAATCGAGTCACAAGCTACGTGCTCGAAATTTGTTTACTTTGGGGTTACATTTCGAGCTGTGTTGCTTTGTGGGAAATCGAAGATAAAACAGAATTTGCATTTTTATTTACCAGCTGCAAAGGGGGAAATGAAAACCCAGCTCAAAAGATCAAAAATTATTTAAGCTGGCAGCTATTTGCCTCAACTAGTATGTAAACATAATGCATAATATTTTGCCCTTTCCTATTAGGAGTGTTGCCACAAAAGCGAAAAATTGCGCGCGGGCTCCTGCATCGCGAACAAGTTTCGTCATTTTGTCTTCCTCCGTTTCATTCTTTTTTGGCCGCTTTGAACTAAAAGAAAAAAAATAACTAGCATAGCGAAAAATATACCCGATGGGGTCAGAGCCTTGCCGTCGCAGAGACGATTTAAGAAAATACAATGAAATTAAATGCATAAAAACGTCACAAGGAAGTTTACCATGGAATCTCTTCCAGAGCTTTCAACTTTCCAACTGGCCATGTTCTTTGATATCGTCGAAGAGTGTAATGAGTTCACGATCAGTTGCAAACGGCTCGGCGAGCATTCGAATCTTGCAGTCACGGGCGAGGTTGTTTTGGTTCTAGATATGCAAAAGCGAAGCGAAAAGCTTTTATGTAATCTATATGTTAAACGACAGTTTTTAATGGTAAAAGATTGGCCGACGATAAAAGGATCTCAGCCAATGAGAAATCTTCTTTCGCGAGTTTCATATTTGCAACTCTGGAAACATGTCTGCTTGAAAACTCAGACTTCTCTCACACCTCGCAGTAAAACATATCACTTGTTCAATTTAAAAACCTCGGATTTTTAAAATCGATTTTAAAATCGAGAAGCAATTGAATATTGGCTGTGACAACGAATAAATCCAAATTTCATTCCGTGTAGAACCTTTTCATAAATGTCTGCCAATTAGAAATTCTTTTTCATTAAAATTAACCTTACTAAACTCGTTTCTGAGTTGATAATTCAAAATAATGTATACTCTCAAACGAATTTAGTGAGGCTAATTTAAATGAATACAAAAGAGGTTTTACAGTGACTTGGCAGCAGGCATGTATGAGGGTATGTTGCATGCAGTTAATATTTAGACGAGTCATGGAAAGAGGACCTGGAAAATGCTAGTGACGAAACAGACCATTACTGTATTTCTGCGGAGCTAAGAAACAGCATTGAGAATTAATTTTCACACCAGCGAAATGAAGCAGAAGTTGAGAATAAAACTGCCTAGACTGCGACTTTTGCCTCCAAGAATTTACTCATTTACGAGACGGGCGTTTGTCACAGCTATTATCTTTTTCGGAAGCTATAATCTCGCCGTCTCTATTCAAATGAATGAGTCATTCAAGTAAAAGACAGCTGTAGCAAAGCCTTCTATTTACATATATTATTTGTCGAACCCTCAAAGGATGTTAGAGACCTATTATCCGAGGGAACATTGTTGGTTTTCGACAAAAATTAATCAAACCTGTCTGTTTTGCATTGATGTATAAAAGAGCGGAATTGATAACTGTCAAAGCAATGTTTTTCTTTCGACGAAAAAAAGTTTATTATCTCAACGTGCGATGGATAACATTCTGCTGATCAAACACGTCGGAAAAATTCATATAGGAAAAACAAACCAAACAAACATCACAATTACGAATTCAGGTACCCTCTTTACGATGGCCGACATATCATTAAAAAATGCAATTTTCAGTAAAAGAGCATTTGGTTTATACATCAGTTGCCATTATTCTAAAATTTCCCTGACATGTAACCCTGCTGTATAGTTGGAAACCCTTTCACGTCAAATTATTTTTGCACGAATTGATGTTTTTACACACTACAACTGATTAGCATTGTAAATAAAATGAGGTAACATCTTTACTTTCAAGTAAAAGGGGGGCTTGGTTTTCAAGTTGCTCAGTTCAAAACAGTGTAATCGCGATCCCGTTTCACGCGCTTTTTGTTGCACATTTTACGTTACACTCAAGTCCTTCACTTCCTTTCGCGCTTCGCGCATTCTCTTTTCTGTAAATCACGTATCACAGATAATCTCTTAACGCTTTCACACACGAACCTCACCCAAATCACGCGAGACACATAGCCTTCCCAGCCAAATCACGGCGTCATACAAAATCGCCTGTCACAAATAACACGCGTCATGCCTAGCGTATAAGCATGACACACGCAGTAAAGACGTTGACAATTTACAATTCCCAACAAAAGGCGCTACTTTAGCAGCGCATTACTGTGTCTGCTGCTTATACTTATGCTCTCGCGCTAGTGAAAACAGCCCTCAGCCGACCCCTAAGCTCTCATCCAAGAGTATTGTTTCTCGCTTGAAAACATTATCTTTCGTAATCACAGCACGTTATCTTGTGATTCCAGAAATAGAGTTTGCTGCAAAATGTCCTGTTTAAAATCAAGAGAAAAATTGAGGTTATAGAATCTGAATAAAGAAGAACGATACGGTACGAGATGGTTTTATTAGGCAACTACATTGTGAATATACTCATCTTCCCAAACGAAAAAAAAGAGGAGCTACAGTGTAGATTTACGTCCTGTCCAGAACTAGCAAGAATCCATTGTTGATGAAAAAATACGACTTTTCTCTCTCCATGTCCAGGAAAATATACAGTTGCACGGATTTCTTGCCCACAATTTGTCTGTTTAATTTAGCGATGCAAAATGTTCCAAACGGTCGAAATATGTTTTCTACCTAGAATTTTAAAGTTCTTCTTTAGCGGCTTTTTTAAGCGATACCGTCGCTTTCTCCTCCACAAGTTTCACCAGGTCGTCAAATCCTCGCTCTCCGTCATGTTTAAAAGGATTCTTCTTGTCGTTCGCCGGCGCAAAGTAGATGGTCGGAAAACCTTCCGCGGAAAACCCGGGGGGTACGTCGTTGGCTGTAGCGTCCATTTTAGCAATGACTATGTTAGGCTCGTCTTTAAAATGCTTTCCAAGTTTCTTGTAAGTGGGCTCCAGGGCCTTACAATGTCCACACCATGGTGCGTACAGCTCGATAAGAACATCTTTTTTAGGATCCATGACGATATCGTGGAATGTTTTTCCAACTACTACAGTGACTGGGCCAGTGTTTTTCTTTGGTATCGGCTGCGATTTTATTTGTGCCTTGATGTTACCTGTGTTTGAAGTAAATTTAAAGAAACCATCAGTAACCTACAAAGATCTCGCAAATGAAAATTACCTCAAACGGAAATGCGTCGGTGAGAGATGCGAGAGTCACGCCCCCTCCTCCCTCCCGCCATTTCAAAGGGTTTGCAATCAGGCGCTGCTCCCGAACTAACCGTCATGTTTTGTGTAAATTTAAATTCTGTCAAATTCGATTTCTGAAATACGTAACAGTACTTCGTCAACTTCATAAACCAAGACGAATAATACACGGATATGAGCTTGTTGCACATAACCAGAATTAGTCCTGACGATTTCTCGATTTTCTTGTTAACAACGTATATAGTCTACTCGTAACACTGTGATATTTGGACAACCTTTGAGAAACTTTATGAAAACGCGCGATTTACTGGCTTACGAGGAACCCAAACTGCGTCTTGTGAGGTGAAGCTGGGAAGAAATTTCAAATGATTACAGCTCACCCTCTTTGAAGTTCTCTACAAATTCACGGAGACTATCTTCGCTGAATTCTTCATCGGGCTCCATTGGGTATTTTCTGTTCTTCTCATCAAAGCAGCCAACGTTTATCTCCTCTCCAGAATCATCCAGTCCAAAATCTTTGAGCTGATCTTGAAAGTCCTCCTCGTTTGCAATAGCAAAGGTGATGTCACGGTGGTCATTGGCGACCTCTAGCACTTTTTGACGCCAAAACTGGGTCGCTGAGAATGAAAGCATTCAATATCATTAGCTGTACTCTGATCGACAGAGCAAATCTTTTACTGCCTACCATAGAATTCTGTCAATTTTAGTCCTAAGAGTTTAGTGGTGATCAAGGAAACATACTCCCCCGGGGGAACTCCCATATAAATAGGACGGGGCTGCTCGTCGGAAATTTTGAAAAGAACCCCTAAGAGGTGCCAAGACCCTGTTTTGTGGGCGTGGCTTGAGATTTTTCATCCCTAAGAAGTACCAATTCTAAAACACCACATTATCTCTTGTAATTTTTTTTTTTCGGGTCAATACCCTAAATGGTGCGCAAAAGCTCCCGCTGGGGACCTTTTGAGGCTAAACAGCCTAAGAAGTACCAACCTAAAAGGTATGATGAGCAACTCTGTCCTGCTAATATGGGAGTCCACCCATCCCTGGGCATACTCTAACTGACGAAATTCTTTATTCTCTCAACCTGTCTGCAGACACTGCGTTGGTGTAGTAAGGTGGAATTAGATCACTGCTGGATCTAACACTACTGGAAGTTTAGAACTTCGTCCTTGTCACCAACAAATCTCACCAATAAGTCTGGTGGCTGGAAAAAAGTTCAAAAAACTAAGGAAAGTACCAAGGAAAAACAACTAACCTACGCGGTTTTCAAAACCGAAATCCACGTCGTAATAGACAATGCACAGAGGCCGTTTGGTGTACTTCTTTTGTTGGTCATGAGAGTCCATTTCACCAACCAGCGGAATACGGTTGTCCTCATAAAATTTCTGAATGTCCTCGGGTTTGGGATCTTCACCCTGTTAATAAAATTAACATACAATAATTAACAATTAGATTATGAGCTCGAGATTTCTACGAGGTGATAGTTGATGAGGCCAAAGGCCGAATCAACTATCGCCTCATAAAAATTGAGAGCGAATAATCTAATAGTTTAAGTGGAATTCTAACTGAAATCAACGCAAATAACGGTTTCCAATTATTCTTCTACGTATTATTGAACTTTACGCTTCAACAAAATCGCACGTATTGAATTGTCCTTGGTAAAATTTGCAGCTGTTTACGCGCGCGCTCCTGTTTTTTCAATAATTTCAAGTTTTTAATGTCAAGAAACAATTATTTAATGTTCTTCTTTTAGCCTTCGCAGAAATTTAATTATGCATTTACATATCAACTTTCTTCCAAAACTTTAGAAAAGCGATAAAACTATCGTATTTCATAGACTACCGACAGCCACTGCACCCTAATGACTGATAATATACAAGTAGCTCAGCCAATCAGATTGCAGCATTTGCATTAGTACACTAGAAGAATTCTACTAACACTGATTAGTAGCCACTCAGCCGTGTTCTACTGGAAATCTGCGAATTTGATTGGTTCTTTTCTTGTTTTATATTTGCTGATAAATAACAATTGTGCCCACACTGCTCTTGAACTAAAGTTGTTCTTAATTTTAGCCTTAAAAATACACAAAGTTGTAGGTTTGGGCTGTAATTCTAGTGTCTACCAGAACGATAAGACTACTTACCTTTGTTTTCTATGAGCAACAGTCAACTAGACTATGCCTCATTGACTATTCGTGAACTCATAGAAAACTTGTAAAGGAGAAAACCTTGCGCTGCAGAAGGTTCCAAATAATGTCACAAGAGTTGACCAGTTAGTTCAAAATTAATCTTTCATAGCTCAGGTGTTTTTACCCAAAAGTTTGCTAATTTCAGTTCTGGATATGAATGTGCACACACTTATGCCACCTATATTTCCCTTACCTTAAACACAATTTGTTTATCTTCAAACTTTGACCTGAACTTTTCAGGATGGAACAACACAATAGAGCTCTTGGTGATGCCAAAGTGCTTCTTAGCTGTAGCATCAAAGGTGTGTGCAAAGGGATAATTGTCTCTGATGTCATCATTGGCTTCCAGGTATTTTTCCAGCAGCTTGTCGTTTTCATCTTTAAAGAATCCTACAACAACTAATTCATCTCTTTCTTTCATGAAGTCTGTAATNAGAGTCGTTCGCCAACTAGTGCCAGTCGTCCCTGTATTCTATTAGACGGCGAGGCGTCGGCCCCAGAAACCCAGGCTACATCTCGTGCTGTGAATCATAACATCACGCAATCTGCCATTACATAGCCTGCGAACAGACTCCCGGTGAGCCCGAACGAAGCCCGAACGCCCCGATCGCTTCGCTCTCCGAATTCTTTTGTCTCGCGATCGCCGAAATTTCTTTCCGTCCTCAATGGGAGCCTGTTCGCAGGCTAGCCATCACAATAATCTCTTGGCCATTATCAAAACTACGTGACCACCGGCAGCTTTTTAGTCTAAATCATTTTACGGTTGACCTCTTGTGCAAAATCTGTACAACCAGAAAGCATCAGTTACAAAATTTAGCGTATCGTCTGTCTACAAACGAATATATGATCAAAATTAATTAACGTTTTTCAAGGGAATTTATTTCGCGCAAATCATGACGCGAAAATAACGGAGCCTATCTTTTTTGAAGTTAATGACTTTTGCGGTGAATTCCGGGAAAATCACCATGAGAAGAAAAGCTGTCTTAAAAGCTCTTCAATCGAGTCACAAGCTACGTGCTCGAAATTTGTTTACTTTGGGGTTACATTTCGAGCTGTGTTGCTTTGTGGGAAATCGAAGATAAAACAGAATTTGCATTTTTATTTACCAGCTGCAAAGGGGGAAATGAAAACCCAGCTCAAAAGATCAAAAATTATTTAAGTTGGCAGCTATTTGCCTCAACTAGTATGTAAACATAATGCATAATATTTTGCCCTTTCCTATTAGGAGTGTTGCCACAAAAGCGAAAAATTGCGCGCGGGCTCCTGCATCGCGAACAAGTTTCGTCATTTTGTCTTCCTCCGTTTCATTCTTTTTTGGCCGCTTTGAACTAAAAGAAAAAAAATAACTAGCATAGCGAAAAATATACCCGATGGGGTCAGAGCCTTGCCGTCGCAGAGACGATTTAAGAAAATACAATGAAATTAAATGTATAAAAACGTCACAAGGAAGTTTACCATGGAATCTCTTCCAGAGCTTTCAACTTTCCAGCTGGCCATGTTCTTTGATATCGTCGAAGAGTGTAATGAGTTCACGATCAGTTGCAAACGGCTCGGCGAGCATTCGAATCTTGCAGTCACGGGCGAGGTTGTTTTGGTTCTAGATATGCAAAAGCGAAGCGAAAAGCTTTTATGTAATCTATATGCTAAACGACAGTTTTTAATGGTGAAAGATTGGCCGACGATAAAAGGATCTCAGCCAATGAGAAATCTTCTTTCGCGAGTTTCATATTTGCAACTCTGGAAACATGTCTGCTTGAAAACTCAGACTTCTCTCACACCTCGCAGTAAAACATATCACTTGTTCAATTTAAAAACCTCGGATTTTTAAAATCGATTTTAAAATCGAGAAGCAATTGAATATTGGCTGTGACAACGAATAAATCCAAATTTCATTCCGTGTAGAACCTTTTCATAAATGTCTGCCAATTAGAAATTCTTTTTCATTAAAATTAACCTTACTAAACTCGTTTCTGAGTTGATAATTCAAAATAATGTATACTCTCAAACGAATTTAGTGAGGCTAATTTAAATGAATACAAAAGAGGTTTTACAGTGACTTGGCAGCAGGCATGTATGAGGGTATGTTGCATGTAGTTAATATTTAGACGAGTCATGGAAAGAGGACCTGGAAAATGCTAGTGACGAAACAGACCATTACTGTATTTCTGCGGAGCTAAGAAACAGCATTGAGAATTAATTTTCACACCAGCGAAATGAAGCAGAAGTTGAGAATAAAACTGCCTAGACTGCGACTTTTGCCTCCAAGAATTTACTCATTTACGAGACGGGCGTTTGTCACAGCTATTATCTTTTTCGGAAGCTATAATCTCGCCGTCTCTATTCAAATGAATGAGTCATTCAAGTAAAAGACAGCTGTAGCAAAGCCTTCTATTTACATATATTATTTGTCGAACCCTCAAAGGATGTTAGAGACCTATTATCCGAGGGAACATTGTTGGTTTTCGACAAAAATTAATCAAACCTGTCTGTTTTGCATTGATGTATAAAAGAGCGGAATTGATAACTGTCAAAGCAATGTTTTTCTTTCGACGAAAAAAAGTTTATAATCTCAACGTGCGATGGATAACATTCTGCTGATCAAACACGTCGGAAAAATTCATATAGGAAAAACAAACCAAACAAACATCACAATTACGAATTCAGGTACCCTCTTTACGATGGCCGACATATCATTAAAAAATGCAATTTTCAGTAAAAGAGCATTTGGTTTATACATCAGTTGCCATTATTCTAAAATTTCCCTGACATGTAACCCTGCTGTATAGTTGGAAACCCTTTCACGTCAAATTATTTTTGCACGAATTGATGTTTTTACACACTACAACTGATTAGCATTGTAAATAAAATGAGGTAACATCTTTACTTTCAAGTAAAAGGGGGGCTTGGTTTTCAAGTTGCTCAGTTCAAAACAGTGTAATCGCGATCCCGTTTCACGCGCTTTTTGTTGCACATTTTACGTTACACTCAAGTCCTTCACTTCCTTTCGCGCTTCGCGCATTCTCTTTTCTGTAAATCACGTATCACAGATAATCTCTTAACGCTTTCACACACGAACCTCACCCAAATCACGCGAGACACATAGCCTTCCCAGCCAAATCACGGCGTCATACAAAATCGCCTGTCACAAATAACACGCGTCATGCCTAGCGTATAAGCATGACACACGCAGTAAAGACGTTGACAATTTACAATTCCCAACAAAAGGCGCTACTTTAGCAGCGCATTACTGTGTCTGCTGCTTATACTTATGCTCTCGCGCTAGTGAAAACAGCCCTCAGCCGACCCCTAAGCTCTCATCCAAGAGTATTGTTTCTCGCTTGAAAACATTATCTTTCGTAATCACAGCACGTTATCTTGTGATTCCAGAAATAGAGTTTGCTGCAAAATGTCCTGTTTAAAATCAAGAGAAAAATTGAGGTTATAGAATCTGAATAAAGAAGAACGATACGGTACGAGATGGTTTTATTAGGCAACTACATTGTGAATATACTCATCTTCCCAAACGAAAAAAAAGAGGAGCTACAGTGTAGATTTACGTCCTGTCCAGAACTAGCAAGAATCCATTGTTGATGAAAAAATACGACTTTTCTCTCTCCATGTCCAGGAAAATATACAGTTGCACGGATTTCTTGCCCACAATTTGTCTGTTTAATTTAGCGATGCAAAATGTTCCAAACGGTCGAAATATGTTTTCTACCTAGAATTTTAAAGTTCTTCTTTAGCGGCTTTTTTAAGCGATACCGTCGCTTTCTCCTCCACAAGTTTCACCAGGTCGTCAAATCCTCGCTCTCCGTCATGTTTAAAAGGATTCTTCTTGTCGTTCGCCGGCGCAAAGTAGATGGTCGGAAAACCTTCCGCGGAAAACCCGGGGGGTACGTCGTTGGCTGTAGCGTCCATTTTAGCAATGACTATGTTAGGCTCGTCTTTAAAATGCTTTCCAAGTTTCTTGTAAGTGGGCTCCAGGGCCTTACAATGTCCACACCATGGTGCGTACAGCTCGATAAGAACATCTTTTTTAGGATCCATGACGATATCGTGGAATGTTTTTCCAACTACTACAGTGACTGGGCCAGTGTTTTTCTTTGGTATCGGCTGCGATTTTATTTGTGCCTTGATGTTACCTGTGTTTGAAGTAAATTTAAAGAAACCATCAGTAACCTACAAAGATCTCGCAAATGAAAATTACCTCAAACGGAAATGCGTCGGTGAGAGATGCGAGAGTCACGCCCCCTCCTCCCTCCCGCCATTTCAAAGGGTTTGCAATCAGGCGCTGCTCCCGAACTAACCGTCATGTTTTGTGTAAATTTAAATTCTGTCAAATTCGATTTCTGAAATACGTAACAGTACTTCGTCAACTTCATAAACCAAGACGAATAATACACGGATATGAGCTTGTTGCACATAACCAGAATTAGTCCTGACGATTTCTCGATTTTCTTGTTAACAACGTATATAGTCTACTCGTAACACTGTGATATTTGGACAACCTTTGAGAAACTTTATGAAAACGCGCGATTTACTGGCTTACGAGGAACCCAAACTGCGTCTTGTGAGGTGAAGCTGGGAAGAAATTTCAAATGATTACAGCTCACCCTCTTTGAAGTTCTCTACAAATTCACGGAGACTATCTTCGCTGAATTCTTCATCGGGCTCCATTGGGTATTTTCTGTTCTTCTCATCAAAGCAGCCAACGTTTATCTCCTCTCCAGAATCATCCAGTCCAAAATCTTTGAGCTGATCTTGAAAGTCCTCCTCGTTTGCAATAGCAAAGGTGATGTCACGGTGGTCATTGGCGACCTCTAGCACTTTTTGACGCCAAAACTGGGTCGCTGAGAATGAAAGCATTCAATATCATTAGCTGTACTCTGATCGACAGAGCAAATCTTTTACTGCCTACCATAGAATTCTGTCAATTTTAGTCCTAAGAGTTTAGTGGTGATCAAGGAAACATACTCCCCCGGGGGAACTCCCATATAAATAGGACGGGGCTGCTCGTCGGAAATTTTGAAAAGAACCCCTAAGAGGTGCCAAGACCCTGTTTTGTGGGCGTGGCTTGAGATTTTTCATCCCTAAGAAGTACCAATTCTAAAACACCACATTATCTCTTGTAATTTTTTTTTTTCGGGTCAATACCCTAAATGGTGCGCAAAAGCTCCCGCTGGGGACCTTTTGAGGCTAAACAGCCTAAGAAGTACCAACCTAAAAGGTATGATGAGCAACTCTGTCCTGCTAATATGGGAGTCCACCCATCCCTGGGCATACTCTAACTGACGAAATTCTTTATTCTCTCAACCTGTCTGCAGACACTGCGTTGGTGTAGTAAGGTGGAATTAGATCACTGCTGGATCTAACACTACTGGAAGTTTAGAACTTCGTCCTTGTCACCA